TAGTGTTAGAGCCAAACTTCTGGACACAGAGTCTGGACTCCACATGGCCCCAAATGACAGTAGTGCAGAGCTGTTATACTTTTTCCAATCTCTGTTTAATTTTTCCCCCCACAGAAAGTATGCTTCAGAATACAGAGGAGGTGCTTCTTGGCATGTATACACAATGCACAATTGTTGCTGTTTGATTCCACCTCGTCATGGCACCATCCTATGAAATCCTGGGGTTTATTGTTTGATAACTTGGAATTTTTTGTTAGCAACCTCAGGTCTAGTCTCCTGTCCTACAGCATTAGAGCTCTCTAACAGGGAATGCTAAGCACTTTTCATGCAGGATGTTGCTACTGGGCAGGCAAAATGAATTTCCCTTCAAATAAGAATTCTGCCCAACAATGAAATTTTCTTTCAGTCTCTAAATTTCTAGTATTGCTATAATTTAAAACTCAAGCATTTAGAAAGTGGGCAGAGGGGGGAAGGCAGGCAAAGTTACCAAGGAAATGTGAACACAGCCAATGTAAGAGTTCTAAGTGTGAATGATGCTCAGTGTTGGAAAAAATGTCATTTTAGGGGGGCAAACTCCTAATTTTGCCTCTCCTGTATCTACACACCCCTGGGCACCTTGAAGTGGATTTCCCAGAACCAACAGCACCACTCCCCAGCAGGCTATGCAATGTGAAGATGGCGAGAGAGTGAGTGTGAACAGCCGCGTGGAGCTTGTCATGTCTGACTTGTCAATATAAATCAGGCATCCTAAAACCCAGGAGACATAAATAAATGGATCCAAAGAAGCTGAGCAAGACAGTTTATTTTTCTCCATCCAAGCAAGGCCTTTTGTGTGTGGAGGGGAGTCATGTTAAAAGTTTGTACCAGACCCAGAGAAACTATGCTTGGGAACAGGACTGCAGGAAGGGAGGGGGAAAGGTAAAAGGAGTGAAAGGGGAGAAAGTTTAGAAACTTCTCTTTTCCCCACTACAACTCTCAGAAACCCCAAGTTAGCAATGGCGGATGATTCTGGAAGCTGTGATCCCCAAAAGTAGTCTTTCTAAAATCTGATTTCCTTTACAGTTTTAAAGGACAGGGCATGGTAGGGGTGTCACTTGGAGAATGCAAGTGACACTATTGTTCTCCATACACCCACCTTTTGGCTGAAACGGGCTGTGGGGTTCCCCTGTGTCCCTTTAAAATCCTGAAGAGATGATGTGAGTGGGGTGAGGCTCGGTGGGAGGAGAAAGGAGAGGCTCCAGATTTT